AGAGAGAATGAGTCGTACCGTACTTGCGAGCTTGCGAGCTTCGTCGACGGGAGGCTATCCTCCGGATCACCCTCGCACGTGGATCGGACGATTTTACTTCGTGCCGTCGGCTGGTCAACGAAGGGCTCCGTTGCTACGCGGCTATAGGCCTGCTGGTCGAATCACGGAGGTGGTGAGACGTCGTCGCCTCGAGCGCAATATTCGGATACCGATATGTCGTTCGCGATGTCCGTTCGCGCGTTCGCAGGAGGTCTTCGCTATCGTGTTTCGGCAATCTTCGGTGATTGTCGGCTAATCGCTGTACTGTCTCTCTCTCTCTTTCGTCGTGCCGTATAATCGTGTGTGTGTGTGTCCTCACACTTGCGTTGACTCTCGGCGCTCGCGATGTATGTAACTTGCCGTGTTACAAACTAAAAGAATCACTTTTGATTTGATTAGAAAAATTACTGTTAATTTATATGATTGTTATAAAGTTATTAACAAAAATAAATGATAAAACTTTCCCTCTCTCCTCTCTGGTTAATGTCAGAGGCTTTTCCGAGCGCCGGCAAAACCTCTCTCCTCTCTGGTTAATGTCAGAGGCTTTTCCGAGCGCCGGCAAAACCTCTCTCCTTTATGATCATTCGAATAAAATAGATTTCATTCGAATAACAGTGGCAAAACATTGCCAAAAACGCCATCGAAGATGGATACTCACGAGGACGCGGCTGCGCGGCTTTCTTCCTCTCCTCTCCGGTTAATGTCAGAGGCTTTTCCGAGCGCTGGGAAAATTTTACAGCCTCTCTCCTCTATGATCATTCGAATGAAATAGATTTCATTCGAATAAAAGTGGCAAAACATTACTAAAAACGCGATTGATGGTGGATACTCACGAGTGTGCGGCCGCACGGCTTTCTCCCTCTCTTCTCCGGTTAATGTCAGAGGCTTTTCCGAGCGTCAGAAAAAGATTCGTGAAAACATCTTATCACCTTTTGAATGAAAAAGGTTTCATTCGAATTAAAGTGGCAAAATATTGCCAAGATCGACATCGAAGTCGCGTACTTTCGTACGCTTATTACGTAAAATTATTATAAAATTACGTAAAATTACTTTAAATGTATATGTTTGTTAAAAAGTTATAAAAAAAATAAATTATAAGACATTGTTAGACCGTTTATTCTAAGAAAATGACGTCTTTACAAGGCGTTTCTTTCTTCGATGCGCTGCTAAGCAACCAATGATATTTTGCAATATTAGTTACCGCGTCATCTCAATCACCGCTTCGGTTGCTACGGCCAAGTGGAGGGGAAAACAGCAAAAGAGGAGAAATTTGGTAGTCGACCGAAACGGCGCTCTGATTGGTCGAAATTATTAATTTTTAAAATTAATTTTCTCGGAAAGTATTGATAATAAAAATTTTTTGAAAACGACAATCGATTCAGAAAATTTTGTTCTACAGCCCATTTTCGAGAACTATAATCCTTCTGAATCACCCTGTATATATATAGATAAGGGTCCTTCAATAAGTCCGTAACTTCTAGAAAGATGGATGTGTTATGGTAACATATTTTACACTGTAACAGTGTTTCATCTAGTATAAGTTGTAACGGGGTTGATACCGTTCAATTATTTTTATTCGGACGATCGCATAGATGGGTGCCCGTAATCACCTATATCAAATACGAAAGTCGGAGAGCAAGAGGCATCGGGTGTCAGTCAACCAACAAATCTATAGGAGTGGAATCAATACGGAATAAGCACGTCGAAAGTACTGGTTAATATCACAGACGAAAACTCTTTATTATCCTCTCTGAATGCTACACTAGAATTGGCCCGCGTGTTTATGTTTACAGTAGCGCTCGCACGACGACAACATACAGCGTTGGATCGCTCGCCGCTCTTTGTTAGCAGAGCTATTACATGCACGCTTCGCTTCGAGTACGGAAAATTAGTTATCATGCATGCAATCGCGGTCGCGAGATTAAGCTGGCCAGCTTACCTTTATTTTGCAGACGTACGAAGACGATGGGAACAATTCGCACTCTCACTACGGGAAAGTCTGTCTGTTCTATGCCGCGGATCGCGAGTTCGCGCGCACACGGTTTCGCCCTCGATGGCGAAACCTCACAGACACACACTCTGGATTCCGCAGGTAACGATCCTGCTTTTTCTGGCTCAGGTCTGCGCTCCGTGTAGCTCTGTAACGACAGCCTCTCGATCTCTCTCGTGCACACAGGTAATTAGTTCGTCGGTCTCGATTTCCGTGGCCTCCGTATTGATAGCTGATTCTTCACTGGTTCGTTTTCAATCGCGCGCGTTCCGTCTGCTCGCGTGCCGAATTCCGTCGTTACATTTTTCATCTACCGGTAAGTGCTGCCCCCGCAGGCAGCCACTAGGTTAGGCAATCAGCGCTAATTTGACGTTTACCGTCACAAAGTGCGTATATAAAGTTTCAAGTCAGAACATTGGTTTGAAAATATTGTACTGTCATTTGAATTTAATTTTTCATTGTGTAAACAAAATCACGGAAAAAATGAGTTTTGTGTACTTATTAATCATAATGTCCTACGAAAAAAATCAATCACAGAAACTAGGAACAAGCTCAGGAAATATTATGGAGATTCTGCTCCATGGCATGGCACAGTTCAAAAGTGGTACACTGAATTTTTTTGTGGTCGTAAGATCACAAGTGACGCTCATCGTGCTGGCCATCCAAAAGAAGTGACTAATAAGACATCGATAAAGTTCATGATATTGTACTCGTCGATCATCGACTGAAAGTGCGTGAGATTAGTAAGACTCTTAACATTTAATTAGGTTGCACATGGAATATTTTACATGAATGTTTGGGCATGAGACAAATGTCTGCAAGATGGGTGCTGCACTTACTCACAGCTGATAACCAGTGAGCTCGTTTTTGCGTATAAGCAATGTTTGAACATATTTCAACGTTTTGAACATAATCCAAAGGAGTTTTTACGACGCTACATTACTGTTGATGAAACATGGATTCATTATTATATGCCAGAAACGGTAAATTAGTTGAAAATATGGTTCGGGTGAATCTGCGCCAAGAAAAGCGAAAACGGTACGATCAGTCGAAAAAGTCATGGTTACAATTTTTGGGGACTCAAGTGGTATAATATTAATCGATTACCTACAGAGTGGAAGAACTATTACAAGAGATGTCTTATTATTAGACCGATTTGATGAGTACTGAAGGAAAAGTGGCCCCATCTGGTGGATAAAAAGGTTCTTTTCCACCACAAAAATGCACCAGCTCACACGAGTTCCATTGCATTGGAAAAATTATTTGATTTAAGCTGCAAAATATTTTCTCATCCACCTTATTCTCTAAATTTGGCTCCTTCTGGTTTTTTTGTTTTCTGACATGAAAATTTGGTTTGCTGATGGAGTTTGATCAAAATTACTTTTCAGTCATAAAAAGCTAAGGCACTTTTATAATCTTGTATAGAGTTAAAAGGGGGCTATGATGAAAAATTAATTGGAATTATTTAGATAAATAGTTTCTTTTATTTAAAGTTACGGATTTATTGAACAATGCTCGTATATGTGTGTGTGTGCGGGTGTATATGTGTGTGTGTGTGCGCGCGCGCGCGTGTGTATGTATGTATCTAGAAATTTTATTCTCGGTATTACGAAACATTTAAAACTTATAATTTTGTATTTTAAAAATGCAAAATTATGAATATGCACAAATATTTTTCCTATTTCTAAATCATTTTTCTCACATGCTAATGTAATGAAAAAATTTTAGTTTCATGAAAAACTACAATATGTACGTAGATTGATAGTGTAATGATCTGTAACAAAACTTATTCCTTGTTACCAATTCTTTTGCGGGGTAAGTGAGGCACTTTCGCTCATGACAATTGAGGGAGAAGAACGAGGGGAGGTTGATAAATAAATTATAGAAAGACAGGATTCAAATCTCACTTACAACCTATTATTATTAATAATTATTCACACTGAACATACGCGCGCATAACATAATCTAAATTACCGACCAACAAACTGCAAATAGAACAATAAACTACTTAAGATAATCACAAATGAACATTTCGCATTTCATCCTAATACCTAATCGCGTACTTAAACTATTACAAACTTACTTAAAAACTACACGAACTAATACCAGGTAAATTGCCCGGCACGTGGGCGCCTGGACAATTCACCGGTCGCAACTTACATCACTATAAATTAAACTTAGCGCGAACCTTCAGATAGTCGGCACGTGAGTGCCAGGCTATCTCTTTCAACGCGCACCGGTCGTCGCATCAACAGAGAGAGAGAGTGTAGAGAGAAAGAAGAAAAGGAAGGCTTGACCTTTTATCTCCTGTCCCTCGCAACGTCGGGAATCCTGAGCGATGCGCTGCCGCAGGAAGTACCGGGTGTCGTCGCTGGTCAGATCGTCGTTAACCGCTGTCGCTGACCAGGTATCCGTAGGCGACGTTGACTCTCCTAGCAGGTGGGCTGGCTGCAGTTGCTGGCAAAGCCCTTGCCGGTAGGGTTGATCTTCCTTCCTCCCGGCTATCCCAAACTGCTCTCTCTGCTGGGCTCGGACTCCCTCACTCTAGTAGGGCTCGGCTGCGACTCCCTCACTCTAGTAGGACTCGGTTGCGACTCTGCTCACGCACTAATTCTTGCGCGCATCTTGCAGCCGCTCAGCGGCGCTCGCTCCTCTCCCTACCTTGACCTATTAGTTAGGCGGCACGCGACGCGTCGCTTATCGGTCACGCGTTGCGCGCATGCCAATCCCTGCATGGGCCTAATACTCTCTCTCTCTCTTTCTTTCTCAATCTCTCTCCGCACTCTTCAACTTTTCTTGCGCTCAACTGCGCTGGCTCGTCCTTGGCGCTGAAACAAAAGGCCAAGTGTTAGACGCATACTTAAATGCGCCCAACGTTGGCCACCACGCCTAGCCGAGTGGGGGAGGGAGAAACGCGGACGAGAGACCGGCGCACGGACTGCTCTCGTCACAGATCAAATAAATTGTCAAACTAGCAGTGATTGTTTAATACTTTACCTGAGTAGAGTGAAAATTCATCTTCATTATTAAACAAATAGTATGGTCCGGTTGAATAGTTGTCGCGAATACGTGTGTAGAAAAAACCTGTAGGTGTAGAACAAGAGTAACTTTTCCTTTGTGATTGACATCGATACTGTAGAAAACTTTGGTACTGTTTGCAAATGATCCACTTAATATATTTTTCTGAAATCTTTGTTGATTGATTTGTCTTTAATTTGAAATTTATATTATACTGATCACAATAGTTCTGTTTGATGCGACTATTAATTATTTCTGCTTTGGATATATTTTTATATTTGATATTTGAAGTGCTATGTTTCTGATATAGCAGGTTGGACATTTGTGCAATTTGGGATATTGATGGTGATTGGAATAATGTCATTTCACGTTTACCAGATGATTCAATTAAGAAAGTGTCAGGCCATTCTCGTTTTAAACGTTGTCCAATATTATTACTATATAAAAAGATACTCAATATTAGTCGACTGTACTAATTTGAATAAAACCTTACTTACTTGAGAAATAGGTTCTTGAATGAACGTCCATCCATTCTGGAGGGTATTTCAACTCCAGCTATATCCAAAAAAGTTGGTGCTAAGTCAATATTTAATACGACTTGATCTATTCTGTAAATTAAATAATTAGGATAAACATATAGAATCCATAGTAACTGTTAATTCTGTCATTCAAAATTCGAATTATCTAATAAAAACATATAAACAATACGGATCAAAAGGTTGACTAGTAAAAAGATATAACAGCTGAATTATATAAATTAAATAGTAAATGTCCAACTTAGAAAGAATTAATAGATAGCCAAGCTTTAAAAATAAAAAAGGTAGTTGTTCCCGAAAACGGAATGGTATATATTTATGTTTTTTGGGTCGCTGAATCCAAATCCGCTGACCTTTTGTTTCCATCACGTCAGATTCAAGGTCAATTGAAGGTCAGATTGTGAAAATAAGCTTCCTATTAGTAGATGATACTATATTTACATGTTTTTTAGGTCGCTATATTTAATTCCGATGCCCGCTTGATCCTATTTTATCAGCGTCAAGGTCAAATGAAGGTCAAATGGGTTATTTGTTGATAAATTTCATTTTTAACCACGGATTTAGAGAGAGCGGGAAATTCCACATCGTAATATGTATTTATATATTTTTTTTCTCAACCTCTCGAAGTCATACAGAGGTCAAAGTATTTCTTAATCCGCAAAATCATAGTCCTTACTCTAATAAATAGTATTAATACTTTTTGCACCTTGCTATATAGTCCGCAGTGTTATGATAAGACTCAGAATAAGATAATTTTGTACAATACTATAAATTGATCTGATTGTTCTCTATTACGCCTCAAAATCCAGAGCAAAATCGGTAATATCTCTGGAATTCTGAATCTATGAGAAAAGTGACACATGACTCGTTAGTAATTTCAGATTTCTTGCATTTTCTCCCTTATTCTACTACCTCTTCATCGTTTCGCTTTCTCCTATAACGTATTCGTTTATCTTCAAATGATCTGTGCAATCGCTTTCAGGTTGGTTACCAGCCAGCTACAATCATCACTGGCTTCTTTGCATGTACCCCAGACGAAAGAAAACCCTCACGGGGAGCTGTCACCTAGTTTAGGAGATGATTATTTGAAGAGGTATAAATATACTCCTCACATTCGGATACGTCAGGGTTTTCAGATCCTGTCGATCTATGAGCCGACATAAAAAGCAATGAATATGTATCTGCCCCCAGGGTACCTCCACTCGATGACAGCGGGCAACGGTACTTTTTTTGTATATATTTGTTTGCGGCAAAATCCCTGGGTGAAGGCATGCAAGCCATCTTGGTAGGCACACACAAATGTGTTATGAAGCAAGGGTTCTCACAAGGGATTCCAGTATCAGCGGTTGTTCTGGGTGAGCAAGCGGGCCCGCAATCATCATCCGTCATCAAGCGACTACAGCTCTACATTGGTTGGAAACTTGGCTTATGTAGAGTATGATGCTACAAGAATAAATCACATATGTAATAAAAGTCAAGATGATTTCTGCTACATTTGTGGTAAATATGAAGTTCCACAAAATCGTAAAAAAATTTCGGCACAAATAAGAAACATTTACAAAGAGTGTTTGAAATTGGACATGATGGATGAAAACTGTGATTGGATATCGCATATCGTTTGCTCTTATTGCAATACGACGTTCAATCGATATCATAAATCTCGAGACACAAAATGTCTGCGGTTTTCAGTACCAGTACGTTGGAGGAAACCGCAATCAAAAGAAAATTGTTATTTTTGTGGAACAAATGTTTTCGGATACAATATAAAAAATAAATCAAATATAGGGTATGCTAAAGTCGCTAGTGTGACACTGCCTATTTATTCCACTGGTGATAGTATAACTAATCAGAATTGTAGCTTAGATGAAATGGAAATGGAAGCTGATGCTGTTGAAAATAGCAATATAACTCCTAGTGAAGACACTATGGAAAGGGAAATATTACGATGACATTGACAGAAATGAAACCAATATGAGTGATAATGAAAGTGATTTCGAGGATGGTCTCACTAGTAATGAAGAAGACGAAACAGATAGCGATGAAAATAACATTGATGAATATCTTCCTTATAAAAAGAGTAAGATACCTCAGTCGTTCTTACAGCAAGAATTGAATAACCAATGGAGGCTTTTTATTGACTCTAATGAAATGAGTTTCAAAGCAGTTTTATGGCATAATACAAATGTTCATGCACCTATACCAGTCGCATATTCAATTGTAATGAAAGGATCATGAGCAAGTCTTAAAACACTCTTAGCTGCATTAAAATATGATAAACACAAATGGAGTATTTGTGGAGATTTTAAAATTCTCACTATGATTTTGGGCCAGCAATCTGGTTACACTAAAAAACCTTGTTATCTGTATTTAAGAGATAGTAGAGATAAAAAGAAATACTATTCAAAAAAAATTTGGGAACCTAGAACATCCTTTAACGTGGGTTCAGATAATATTTTGAATTCACCATTAGTTGATCCAGAAAAAGTATTAATACCTCCGTTACATGTAAAGTTAGGTCTTATGAAGCAATTCGTGAAAGCTTTAAACAAAGAGACTTATTGTTATATATACTTACGACAACAATTTCCACGTCTATCTGACGCTAAAGTAGAGGCAGGCGTATTTGATGGACCCGAAATCAGAAAAATGTTCAGGGACGATCAATTCGGAACTAAAACGAGCCCGGTTGAGGCTAATGTTTAGATTAGCTTTAAGAAAGTATGCCGAAATTTCTTTGGAAATAACAAAAGCTCTAACTATAAAAACTTGATAGCTGACATGATTGAGAATTTTAGGGAATTGAAATGTAATATGAGTTTAAAATTGTATATGATGGATAGCCACGTTAACAACTTTCCTCGTAAGATTGGAGATTTCAGTAAAGAGCAAGAAGAACGTTTCCATCAAGTTTTGAAAGACGTAGAACAAAGATTTCAAGGTAGATGGGATGAAAATATGACGGCAGATTACTGTTAGCTCTTGCAGAGAAAAGGCATAAAAAATGGTAAGAAACGCAAAAGAAAGCCATTGCACAGATCATTTGAAGATAAACGAGTACGTTATAAGAGAAAGCGAAACGATGAAGAGGTAGCAGAATAAGGAAGAAAATGCAAGCAATCTGAAATTACTAACGAGTCATGTATCACTTTTCTCATAGATTCAGAATTCCAGAGATATTACCGATTTTGCTCTAGATTTTGAGGCGTAATAGAGAACAATCAGATCAATTTACAGTATTGTACAAAATCATCTTATTCTGAGTCTTATCATAATATTGCGGACTATATAGCAAGGTGCAAAAAGTATTAATACTATTTATTAGAGTAAGGACTATGATTTTGCGGATTAAGAAATACTTTGACCTCTGTATGACTTCGAGAGGTTGAGAAAAAAAATGTATAACTACATATTACGATGTGGAATTTCCCGCTCTCTCTAAATCCGTGGTTAAAAATGAAATTTATCAACAAATAACCCGTTTGACCTCCATTTGACCTTCACGTTGATAAAATAGAATCAAGCGGGCATCGGAATCAAATATAAAGACCCAGAAAACATGTACATATAGTATCATCTACTGATAGAAAGCTTATTTTCACAATCTGACCTTCCATTGACCTTGACTTTGACTTGATGGAAACAAAAGGTCAGCGGATTTGGATTCAGCGACCCAAAAAAAATAAATATATACCATTCTGTTTTCGGAAACAATTAACTTTTTTATTTTGTGTGCCTGTGTAGTAGGACTGAAAGTAGTAGTTTCTTAACGTAATTGTTGAAGTTAACAAATACGCTATCAAGAACCTTTTTTTTTAAATAAGAAATAAATTTAATCAAAATTCTTATTCATATCTGTACACGAGGGTCGTTTGAAAAGTCCGTGCAAAGTCAGAGAGATAGCGCTACTAGTGCGTATCAAGGTTATTTTCAGTTAGTGGCATATCTTGGAAGAGCACACACCAAGTTTCAGCCAGATCGGCCAATTACTTTGCGTTTTATATTCGTTTCAATCAAAGAAATCGAGTGGTTCTAAAAAAATGTACGAAAAAGAATTTCGTGTATTGATTAAACATTACTTTTTCAAAGGGAAAATGCCTCAGGAGATTAAACAGAAGCTTGATAAACATTATGGTGATTGTGCACCTTCGATTAGAATGGTTTATAAGTGGTTTCAAAATTTCCGGAGTGGCCATATGAGCACAAAAAACGCTGAACGTTCTGGAGGCCTTGTTGAGGTTACCACTTCAGAAATCATTGATAAAATCCATGATATGGTGATGGATGACAGAAGAGTGAAGGTGCGTGAGATTGCTAGTACGGTAGGCATCTCGAGCGAACGGGTACATAATATTTTGCACCAACATTTGGACATGAAAAAGCTATCCGCTAGATGGGTGTCGCGATTGCTCACGATTGACCAAAACCGAGATCGTGTGAAGTGTTGCAAGAATGGTTTGCAGCTGTTCCAGCAAAATCCGCAAGACTTTAAGCGTCGTTTCATCACTGTATATGAAACATGGATACATCACTACACTCCTGAGACCAAAGAACAGTCTAAACAATGGGTTACCAAGGGGGAATCTGCTCCGAAAAAGGCGAAGACAATTCCTTCGGCCGGAAAGGTTATGGCGACTGTCTTTTGCGATTCACAAGGAATAATCTTCATCGACTATCTGGAAAAGGGTAAAACCATTACAGACGAATATTATTCATTGTTATTGGATCGTTTGAAAACCGAGATGCTAGAGAAACATCCATTATTGGCCCACAAAAAAGTCCTCTTCCATCACGACAATGCGCCACCTCACGACTTAGCAGTTGTGGCTGCAACACTGATGGAGATAAGGTTCCAACTCGTTTCACATCCCCCCTATTCTCCAGACTTGGCTCCGTCGGACTACTATTTGTTCCCTAATATGAAAAAATGGCTGACGGGGAAAAAATTTTATTCAAACAAGGAGGTGATTGCAGAAACGAATGCCTATTTTACAGACTTGGACAAATCCTATTATTTGGAAGGGATTAATAAACTAGAGCAGCGTTGGATGAAGTGTATAAGCCTGAAAGGAGAC